CTCTGGTGCAAATTACTGACCTCTGTCATCATTTTAGGTGGGGGAACTTGCACAATCGGTGGCTGACTAAATACTTTTTTGCCCCACTGTATGTCCTCCATTGTGCCATAGTCAAAGACATACAGTTAGTGGAGGTTAGCTGGTGATCCTAAATTGCCCAGAGGTGTGAGTGTAAATTGCCACCTGTTTGTCTGTGTTAGCCCCGTGACAGACTGTTGACCTGTCCAGGGTGTACCCTGCCATTGCCTCCACCCCCCATTACACTCCCACCCAAACCAAATTGCATAAGCAGAGGAAAATGGACGGGTGCATTTCCTCAGTGCAAAGTGAAAAGTGAAAGAAGATAAGTATCCTGTATTGGGTATAGTTGTCAGTACGTCAGACTGACTTATTATACAGAATCAGAGCAAGGTAAGATAACTGAAGAAGCAAATTATCTGACAAAAAGAGAGAAATAGAGTGTTAGCAAAAGCTAAATGGGTATATAATGTATATGAGAGTAAAATAGTATAACAGTACAGTGTGGTAAGTATTATTTGTTTGTAGATATTATTTTTAATTCTAACACGTAAATATCTCTTGCTACCATACAAGGAGCAGGTAGGGGTATGTTATAATTGCATGTTTGCATATGGTTATTTACTCTTTAACCACTCTGTGGTTTTGGACTTTGAGAAGCTTTCAGAAGATATGCTGCAGAGGGTCTGTAAGGGCGGCTCATTTTCTATAATGATGAACATAATAATCGCTCTTCTGTGTGAGTACACTAACAGATAACATCTACATCTTTAAGTGAAACTGTTTTCTATCTATTTAATCTGAAAGGATTCATTTAATTTTTCACTTCTTTTCTTCAAGGTGTTCTGGCAAACCAAGTCATAAGCCAAACTGAAGGTAAGTTCAGTTTCCTTCATCACAAGATATGTCTCTTCTGTATTCCTAAATGTTACTAGGTTGCGCTCATCATTACCTATATTGCTCACTATGATGTCACGCAGATATTTTTCCTGCAAAGATCCTGGCGCAGCAGACGATTATAAGTGAAAACAGTGACCTTATTGTAACATGCAGCACATTTGGGAGAAAGAAAGACTCCATGGTTTTTGTTTATTTGTTAATAAATGAGTGCGGAATCCAGTATCTCGCCCAGAAGAAAGATCGAAGTGACACTACGTTCACCATATCCAGAGCTGGTCTTCATCACAGTGGAAATTACAGCTGTGTTTATTCCCCGAATCATTATACACTTTCTGAAGTAGCCAAGAAAGGAGACGACATCATTGAGATTCTGGTCATAGGTAAGTGTTTTGACTCCTGAACACATGATGTCATTGTTATTTCTTTCCACTCATTTTCTCCTGTTTCCATGCAGCCAATTTTCTCCCAGCAGATATTTCAATAGTTGGGTCATCCACTGTTCATGAGGGAGACTATGTTGAATTCCAGTGTACAGTGTCTCAACACCTACATACACTTGGTGGATGTAAATTTATCTACGCTTACCTGAGGAAGAATGACACGATTCTGCTAGTGCAAGTCTTTAATGTCTCTCAGATGCTGACAACTTTCATCATCGATGGTGCAGTTTTGAGGGATTCAGGTCATTACAGCTGCATAGTGCTGCCATCAAAATGCTTCTATGAGCACGAGCACACAGTTCATGGAACAAACAAAGTATTTCTTCAGGTCAAAGGTAAGAATGTCTGTATGCTTCAAAAATCTTTCAAAT